CTATCCTCTCCTGCTCCCATCCTATCCCTATCCTATCCAGCATCCTGCCGAAATCCACAGGGCGAGTCGAGCAAAGCCGGACCACTTCCCTCTGCCAGCCTCTTTTCTTACGCTTTTTATTTTTGTACTACGCTGGCTACTACGCTAAATATCATGGAAATGGTAAAAAGAAATAGTACAGATCTTGGCAAAAGGGGTGATGATGCCGAAAGGCTCATCAGTCCAGCCCGGTGGATGGAATGTGCTCCAGCAGGCAAACTTGCACCGTCATCCAGTTACTGCTGGAAAATATCTACATGGAATGTTAGAAGTTTATACCAAGCTGGCAAGCTTGCAAACGTTGCCAAAGAAATGATCAGAATGGAAATAGATGTATTAGGAGTATCAGAGACTTTTTGGAAAGACACAGGGGATTTTAGATACAATTTACCCCATGAAGAAGAATTTAGAGTTATTTTTGCAGGAGGGAATGACCACAGGAAAGGCGTTGCTTTTATCATGAGAGGCATTGCAAAGGAGAGTGTGATAAATTATAATTTGAAGTCTGAAAGAATAATAATAGTTAGGGTATCAGCAAAACCTAAAAACCTTCTCCTTTGTCAAGTTTACGCACCCACTACAGCAGACTCAGATGGAGAGATTGAAAACTTTTACGAAGAAGTAGAAAACGCAATAAACCAAATTAAAAAATGGGATGATATAGTCTTACTGATGGGGGATTTCAATGCGAAGATCGGAAAAGGGAAACAAGGTGAAGTAGTGGGACCTCATGGCTTAGGTAAAAGGAATGAAAGAGGGGAACGAGTAGTAGAGTTCTGCATAAAGCATAAATTGGTAATTTGCAATACATGGTTCGAGCAGCGGGAAAATTCAAAACATACTTGGTTAGCCCCAGACGGAAGAACGAAAAATCAAATAGATTACATCATGATAAACAAACGATATAGGAATAGCATAAAAAATGCAAAGGCCAGGCCAGGCGCTGATTGTGGGTGAGATCATAATCCAGTTGTTATAAATATCAAAACAAAACTTAAAAGAGTGAAAAAGAACAAATCCACAAGAAAAAAGTGGAATGTTTCAAATCTTGATCAAAAAGTAATCAAAGAGAAATATAAACAAGAAAGTGAGAGACTGATTGACACAACTGACCACAGAGAAAGTGTTGAAGAAATTTGGAAACATATTAAAGAGTGTCTCATTAAAACAGCAGATGCAGTTTGCGGTAAAAGAACAAAATCAGGGAAGCAAAACTGGATCACAGTGGAAATATTAAACAAAATGGAAGAGAGAAGAATGTGGAAAAGAAATGAGGAGAAGTACAGGAGTTTATCAAAAACTATAAAGAGAATGTGCAGAAAGGCCAAAAGTCAATACTATAACAAAATTTGTCATGAAATTGAATCAATTGATAAATCACATAACCCAAAAATGTACGAAAAAGTTAAACAGCTGAAGCCTAAAAAGTTACGATCAGAACAAGGTGTGAAGAATAAAGACGGAAAATTGCTTTTTGATGAAAAAGAGATCCTAGAGAGGTGGGCAGAATATATCGAAGAACTATATTCAGACGAGAGACCTGACATACTCATTGAAACGAATAGCATGCACAATACTGTAAACATCTCAGAGATGGAAGTAAGGCAAACCATCGCTAATCTACCAAAGGGAAAATCTACTGGAATAGATGAAATCCCAGCAGAATTTTTACAGAATATGGGTGAAAAAGGAATAGAAATGATAACTTTGATAGTCAATAAATGTTATAATACAGGCCTTCAACCTGAAGATTTTCTCAAATCAATCTTTATACAGCTTCCCAAAGTAGCCAACACGAAAGAGTGTGCAGAACATAGAACAATAAGCTTGATATCACACAGCTAAGATCTTACTACACATGTTAAAGAGAAGAATAACACCACTTGCGGAGAAAAGAATGAGTGAAAACCAATTAGGATTTAGAGAGGGTCGAGGAACAAGAGATGCAATATGTCAAATAAGGCTACTTTCAGAGAGAATGGTCAGTAAAAACAAGAAAATATTTGCATGCTTCATCGATTACAAAAAAGCATTTGACAAGGTTAACCATAGTAGATTAATTCAAGTGTTGAAAAAGTACGAGGTGCCTCCAGAGGAAACCAGGTTAATATCGAATTTATACTGGTCTCAAACTGCACAAATCAGAGGTAAATCAGAAGACTCGCGCAGTTTTAAAATTGAGAAAGGTGTAAGACAAGGTTGTGTTCTGTCACCAGTATTTTTTAATATGTATAGCGAGGAACTAATAAATGAAGCCCTACAAGATGAATCTGGGTTAGAAGTGAATGGAATGATTATCAATAACATAAGGTTTGCTGACGACACCGTATTGCTAGCTAGCACAGAAGATTTACAGAGATTAATTGATAAGATAAATGAAAGTTGTACAGCTTATGGTATGGAGTTGAATGCAAAAAAGACCAAGGTTATGGTCGTGGAAAAACAGCCAGGGACGAAAATC